TTCGTTCAATTTTAGCGGATACCCTTCTTGTTCCCTTACTTCTGGGACACCCTGTATATCCATAGTTTTATTGTTGTTCGAAAGATATTTACACTCTCTTTATATACCCTTAGTATGGAAACTTCTAGAACTTTCTTGACTGTTCTAGGAAGGTACGAAAAAAAACGACAAAATATTCTTACCAACTCAATATTATGTGAAAAAAGCTGGTCACTCCGTTGCAGCCCACTCAAAAGAGCTAGTCACTTCGTACCTGCTTGTTTAAAAGATATGGAACTGTCGTACATTTACTGGCAGAAGTTTCGAGAGAAAGTTAAATTTTACCTGACGAATATGTTCCAAAAGAATTGTTGTTACTGTGATGATCACATAAATTTCTGTCCAATGAGGAAGTTTCTTCTTCAGTGGCGGATCAAAATGATATAACATCATATAACTAAATGTAAGTAGTAACCACACGTTAGCAATCTGTAAAGAAATCCAAATTAAAATATATGTAAACATAGATTATGAGAAGAACACTCCTTACAAAGTCGTAGATCATTTTGATCATTGGGGATTTGTGAAAGCTGATAAATCGTTCTCTATATGAATGACACATTAGCTTCTGTGAAGAATTAGAGGGCGTGTAATAATTCATACTATAGGAACACGGTCTATATTGTCACACTTTTTCATAGAATAGATATATAAATGTCGCTTACTGTTCATCTTTATTCAATGGTGACTGCTCTTGCTGTTCTTCTTGCTGTTCTTTTTGCTGTTCTTCTTGCTGTTGATCACGATAGGCAACATAGAAGGGTGCAAGAACACCAAAACTTATCAAACCAAGAGCAATCATCGGTTTTTCTCCATCATTAATCAACTTGATTTCATCAAGTTGATCGTACCAATTTTCATTCATGATTCGATCAAAACAAGCCGTCAATAAAAATTTCTTACTTTTCGCTGACACTGCAACCTATGCGAAAAAAGACAAGTGATGGCAAGCAAAATATTTCCAATCTCACATACTTGCACACATGTTATATTACCAAAGAGTGGTATCCGCCGTGAAATTAGTTTACAGGCTTTTCTTTCATTACACTCATAACAAAGATTGATGCATGTTACTGCATATAATTCAAATTCCTCTGCTATTTTATCCCATGTTTCTTTCAACTGAATGATGCTCGTATGTTTTGAACGTTCTGAGAATATTTTTGATGCAATGAGTGAAGCACAGATTCTTGGTTTCAGATAAACTAGTAAGACTTTAGCTAGTTTGACATGACCCATAAATACAGACCATAGAAACAGATCTCGTAACTTGTGTTGTTGTGGGTACGTTTTGTCTTTTCTTGAAGCATGGGTGAGTGGAAGTAGACCCTTATATAAACAGGTCGTATGACGTTTTGGTTTCCGACAGCATTTACAAATTTTTTGAGTGAGTTCATCAAACCTGTCCTCCAGACGAGCCAAAATACGCTTTTGTTTTGGTGCTTTATTTGAATACAAAGGTTGCATAAAGGAGCCGATACATTCTGCACAGAGTACATCAATAACAGTCAGTGTCGTTGTATTTTTCTCCTTCAATTTAGAGAACGGATATCGTTTCTAAAGTATGGATATTTGGTAGTCTTCTAAATTGATATTTAGTGAAAGATATATACCTCATGTTGTGTGTTCCAGCTATTTCGATACAGTTGTAAGACGTCGGCTGCCTGCAACTTCTGCAGAACATCATATTGAGATCGAAGAAAATAATCGACCAACATAGGTTTATTCCTTTCGACTGAAGTAATTAAATGTTTTTCAATTTCTTCACGGGGCAGCTAATAACAAAATTTGAAAGTTACTGTGAAGTTAGATAAGTAAGAAAACGTGACTGCTAACGTCTACTTCGTAAATAAAGGATTTAATTATCTACCTAACACACAGATATCGTTCATCTTACGTTTGTTTTTAAATCTTAATGGGATGAACTTAACCCGGATTGAACTCGAGTCTAAAAAGATTTTTCCATGATCGAGATCGACGTCGAGCCTACAGGATCCAAATTAACATTTTGAAAGCGAATTGACTATTTCTTCATCATTTCTCAATCGTTTATTTGTTTTCGCGTACTAATGTTAGGCAGAGAAGTATCGAATCCTTTTTGAGTCCGAAAAATTGGCTAAAGAAATACATTTTTTTCTAGAGTTTTCTGTCAAATTTTAAGTTCGCAAATCTCTTCAATATTCTTAATAAGAAGAAACTTTTCTAGAAAGCATGGAGACGTATAAGATGACAAACCGGTTTACCACTACTTTTCAATCTAACATTGTGAAATATATGTGAAACAGTAGATTTCAATAATAGAAATATTTTTTGATGATATTTTGAATATATTTCAGTGTTATACTATAAAATATATTACTTGCATTTTATACAACACCCTCACGATGTTTCTATGATACGTAGGCACTTATATATTGAACAGAGTTTCTTCTAGAATTCTGATAATACATGATAAGATTGAGACGTAGTAGTGTATTGAACAATTCGCGTAGTAATCAGGTCGACAGCTCAATATCCTCGACAGTTATTGACTGCTCACCAATTAAACACATCAAAATAGCATATAGTTTTATTAGTATTTCAACACTATCTTAAGAGCGGAGCAATTGATATTCTTTGCTCTTTCTCATTTAACTCGAAGTTTGAGAAACCTAGAAGATGGCATCAATTAGTGAGGAATACTATGCTAACCAAACTCATTATGTTTACAAAAAAGTAGTTATGTCATCATGGTAAGTCATAAAATCGAACCAATTCCGTGACAATATTCAGAAACGTTTAATTAGAATCGATTACGTGTGCTTTTGGAGTTCTATATATCCTACTCAAGAAAAGTCACGTTTCAATGAAGCCAACGATCAAGACCACAACACACCATCAAAAGAGAATAATAATACAAACAATTTTTTGGTACTCGCTAATTCTTATAACCAATCATTCTGGTCTTTTGATCTATTAGCAAGTATTATGATACTAAATCTGTATCTTCATGTCAGTTAAAAGTTTTTCACGGTTGTCTTTTTACTGCGCAAAATTAGAAGCAAACCGAAAGAAAGTCAACTCGATCATGAATTATTCTCGTCAGCAAAGATATATATTTATCTAATAAAATCCTAGAAAATGGACTAACCTGCATTGATTTTCCATTAATATCTTCAAGTACATGCTTTACTCCTTCTAATGAATTCCATTTAATCGATAGATCCAGTAATTTTTCTATATTTTTTCGTGAATGATTCTGATTTGCAGGCTGACCCTGCAGATTGTCTCGATGTTCGCGAACCATTATTTTGTAGCCTTAATAGATCATCAATCACATTTGATTTACACATGTCTCATACAAACTTAAGTTACCTTTGACAATCGCATTGAATATCGTTTCGGCAACATTCATATCTTTGTCTAACGAGTAAACATTCAAAAGATGACGGTTTTTCATGTCCATAATCTGGGTTATCTCGAAAATACAAAGTTCGTACTCAGCAGGTATTTGGGAAGCGTCTGAGTTAGTCTCTTCATTTTGAAATTTTTTTCTTAGTCGATCAACGATTCCATCGTGCTGTGGAACACTAAAACTTTGAGCATGTTCTTGTGAAAAATATAAAAAAGTTTTCTCTTACCCATCAGGATTTTGCTTCAGCAAATCGCTTAATACATCAGCCATTCTACCGCTACCCTGAAGGAATATAAAACAAAAATGAAAACACTTGGTTAATATTATATTATCTCTTTCTTACGTCTATAATCACAACAGGACGATTGTCTTTCAAATCATTTAGTATCGTTTTCAATGTGTTTTGGCCTCCGTTAACAATAACTGTTACCGCATAGCCTAAAACCGAAAAACAACATCAGAGAAACATTGCTTTGCTATATTATTGTGCTCTCACAGTTGTTGTCATTGTTGGATGCCTTTTGTACGAACATTTGTCGTTGTGCGTCGCCTAAATAACCAGATAATTGACCATCATCGAACAATAGCATATATGTATGATGTAGCTCTATTGTGTAAGCATCAGTTGTTTCCAATATTTCTGGAGGAAATTCATAGTCTTCGTTTTCGCAATAATTTATGCAATTTTCCTGGCGTGTAAACTAAAAGAGAACAGAACTATTATATTACATATATTTTCTCAATTGATCATCGTACTTTTTCCGATAACAGATCTCTAGTTCTTTTAGTTAGAGTTCCCCATTTTGTGAAACCAATACTAACTACGTCTTTTGAATCGCTTTTTAATATTCGATCTTGTAATATCGCTTCGCCAACCAATTTGGTAATACCACTGTTTAAACCAGTAGTCAATATCCATCCATCTTCAGAAAAAAAGAATGTTATTCTGCCAATTAAACTATAGTGACGAATCAAACCTTTCATATGTATAAACTCGTAATCTTTCGTTTATATTTTCATACTTTCGTTATCATCCTTTTCATTATTCTAACACTAAGGTTATTTCTTTATTCTTGCAATCTATGCACAAAGTAGTAGGCCTATCAATCTCTTAATCTTTTCGTTCATAATTATGTCAGTAGCAGTGTTCGACTCCGGTTCGATCACTAAATTAGTATTTGACCTCGGGTCGAATCGGATTGAGTCAGAATAAGTTGATCCATATCGAGATTTATATAAGAAAAATACGAGTTCTAGATAATGTAAAAACGTTGTTCTGGTCAATTTTGTCAGTGTTTGTACAGATCCATTAAAAAGATGCTTAATCTATGAAAAAACTTGTTTTAGTTGGCCAAAAAGTATATTTGAGCTCGAGTTGAGTAGAATCACCAAAAAAAACAAATGTAGCTCTCTTTTCAAATCGAATTGGATTGGATTAAGTCATGATGAAGTCGAGTCAAAAACTTTTTGACATATGTCGAACTCTAATCGATAGGTGCATTATGAATTCCCTCATTTCTTGGTCGACACTCATATCGACAATATCTTCTATCATTTTTACTGCATATGATCATTTGTAAGCGTTTTTTTCTCACGCTTAGACAAAAATTAAACATTACCAGCAACTTTAGCTGCTTCAATAATACCACGCATGAATTCCTTCTCCAAACGCTTGTTCATTTTAAAATATTTTTCACCACCACAAATGCTTATTATTAAACTTGGCTGTTGACTGCAATCCTCACATATCAAGTTATAAAGATCTTCTGCCAGTGCATTCGTTGCACAACGAATAAACTAAACAAAAAGACAAATTTTCATCCATGAACAGGAAATATATTGTTTTTACCTTGGTCCCGTATAATTCATATGGATGGTACAAAATACCAAAATTTTTCGTATTCTTCATCGGCGCTGAACAAGAATAAAAATTCCATTGAGTAGTACTTCGTGATTTGGGTGGACCTTCGTAGCTATGTGACCTTTTCAAACGACCACAGTCACATTCGTCGTTTTGTTCTTGTTGAGGTGGTACTTGTGGTAATTGTTGTTGTTTACTAAACAGGTTACAAGTAGGACGATTGTTCAAACCTCGTGTTGATATAGCTTCACACCACTTTTCATATGGAGATTTTTGAGACGGCATCTAACAAGTAACTTTCCAAAAAAGAAAAAAATATATATATTAGAAGTTTTTAGAATCAAAATTACAAAACCAAACTTATATTTTGTCCTAAGGCACAAAAGCTAGGTTCAAATTTCATTCATTTTCCAAGCATATATAAAATCACCTTGAGAGGAAAACATTGTGATATAAACCGACATGTAAATCATTTTCAGACTACTTTTACTTGGAAATGTCCATAATTAACTCATTCTTTTTTGGCCAGAGACAAATCAGTGGGTTCTCAATATTTATTTTCTCAACTTCATGCTATCAAGTCATCACTAAGGCAGACGGTTACATTATGGCCTGGCGAAAATTCATTTCTTGCGCTTAATAATGTTCACTGTCATTGTTATAGTAACAAAAGTATAATGCATAGCGTCGGCACAACCATTAATTGACATGCTAACGCTACGAAAAGAAAAAGAAACGATATTGAGAAATTCACTTTCTTTATGATAGAGAAATCCTTGGACGTTTGAGAAGGTGTATCTTCCTAGCTAAAATAAAAAGAAAACTTGAGTTTGTGATTTTGTTATTTCGACTGCTACAAAGTGGATCCCATACAGAATTTCGCGATGGATCTTATGATAGCAGAACATGATCCATTAGGGAGGGCCTATGATCACTTATAGAGGAAATAATGACAATCGAGCAACAGGTAAATTAGTGGAATGGAATATGATACCTTTTTCTTATTAAAAGAATATATTTCATCTGAAAGTTATGACGGCATGTTGCCCATATTGTTCGATGCTTCGCAAAAAACGTTTTTAACTTGATTGACTGTTATTTCAAGGTGTGATAATCAAGACATGAATATTAGTTTGTTTATATATATAGATACTCTTGTCCGTTCTTTTATAATATCGCGACAAAGGGAAATCATGTTTTGGGGTTGTGATCTTTTCTTGTACCTCTGAGAAAGGTTTCAAAATTATATCATTTTCGATTTCTTAAAATTGACATATTAGATGTCGCATTCATCCAAAAGCTATTATGAAGAGTATATGAGCAAGTATTGTCTATTGATATAGATTTTTTTATGTCTAATTTGGTTGATTCGTACTTGAGATTGAAGTACAGGTGGCCCAAAAGTCACATTACCGAAAAAAGTTGAATATCTCCATTACGGTTCGAGCAAACGAGTTGTGTTTTTAGCAGTGATAGAGACACGTTCAAGCTTTATATCAATAAAGCCAAGGTTAGCGAGATCCTTTGTTAAGTATCAGTACTGATGTCAATAGAAAAATTTTACTTTTTCACTGGTACGAAAAAAAAACAATACAGTTAACAAAGGATCTTGCTAGACTTGTCTTTATAGATATGTCACAGTTGACATCAGAAATTAGTTGAATTTGGAATGCGCGAAATAAAGAATTTAAAAACATAATCGTTTGTTTTGAAAGGAAATTTTCTTGTTATAAAAAGAAAGCTGTATGAAACGTGTAATATAATTAGTTTGCACAACAGGTCATAAAGAAAGCCCCTTAAATTCAACAAATAAAAAAAAATATTCTGAATAAATATCTTTTTTCTTTTATCACCCTAACAATCACATTAAAGCGAGATGTTCTTCTTATGTGTATATGGATATTTTTCTGAGTCTTTCGTCATATTAGTCGCATGGCTCGTACAAAAATAAACGTTTATTCCAACTCCGTTTCGAACTCCTGCTCGTAACAATTTAGTAACAACAAAAAAGAATTTTTCGGTAGTTATTTCAATCTGACCAATCATTCATTGTCCCCATGTGCCCATTTGAAAAAATAAACTATTTTAAACGTATATACAATTACTAGCACATAAAATATAAACATATTCTTACTCTCAATTAACATATCTACAATCTTCATAAAATTCAAACTTCAGATAAATAACAACAATAATAAACTAAACTCTATATCAACAACTTTTCATATTTCAACAATCACAATATTTTTTACTCTAAGATAAAAAAAAATCTTATTCCGAACTCAACTGGATTCCGAAATGACCTGCATTAGATATAAAGCTTGAACATGCCTCTATCATTCACAAAAATATCAGCTTCTTTCCTCGAACCGTAATGGAAATATTCATTTGTTTTTCGGTAACGTGACTTTTATGCCATCCTATATAAGTGTTAATGATCGTTTTCATATGAGACTCAACATATCTATAACATTATATTATGATTTTCGGCCTGCACGAATATGAAAGAGCAAAGGATCATAATACCGTAATTTTTCAATTCAATATATTAAATTTGCAAACCTCAATCACAGACATATTTCACCAATTTATATACCCACTTCTGTAGAGTTCATCAAAAGCTATCAAATATATTATTTAAGTTTGATGCCTGACAGAACTGTGGTACTGAACGTAGACCTTATATTAGAAAATAAGATCAAGACAGAGTCAGAGGTGCTGAATCTTCCTTATGCGCCGCCCGCGCGGAGAGGAAATTTTTTGAAAAATTGCCTTAGCCAGGGGAATTTTCGAAATCTGTTATAACGAAAAAATTTTGAAAAATACTTATACGGGGAATTCTTGAAACAACGTTTTGATGAAAAACATTGTTTTCTTCGTAATTAATCATGAGTTCTTATATGATGCATTGTCACTCCATTTAGCAGATCCGTTCATAAAATACTCTCTCTCTCGACAACTACTTCTTTCCACTGTAGGACAAACATTGGATTTTCTTAAAAAAACAGAATAGTCCTGTGCGTTCAAATTAGTGTCACCTGGTTCGGTTATTTTAAACTATTTGAGAAGAGAACAAGTAGAAAGAATTCCGATGTTGTACGAACAATAACGAAAGGCAGAAAACTGCTGCATGTTTTTACTTCTGTTTTTGCTTGAAATAAAGTAGGTCTGTAGTTGGTGAAAAATCACCTCGGAGAAAGTTTTGATTTTTTTTGGAAGATTCTGTACCTTTGGACGGAATACTGTTAAAAGTCGAACAGGCATTAGTCGACAAATATTGTTAGATGACTCTCAAAGCTTCACCGCAGACACAATTTCAGTTTCCTTTGTTTATGATATCCAGCACAATAGTAAAGTATCTAAAGGTTTTGTAGAAGTTCTATTAAAAACAATGGACATTCAGAAACACAAATCCTTATTTTTTGACTATCAGGAATCATAGTTGATAGATAATCTTCTTATCTCGAAATTTTCGTTAGACAAAAGCGTTTTCATTTCGACTTAAAATGAGAATTGTGTATATCATTGATAGTCCTTATCAACGTCATTGGTCACTATATAGCATTTCCCATATCTTCACATACTGGCAGTTTCAGAAGCTGAAATTTTAAGCGAAGGAAATTCCATCTTAATTACGATTGTCTGTGATGAAATTTTGAGAGTCATTGAATAATATTTCGTCGACTTATGCCTGTCTGACTTTTACCAGCAGACTGTCCACGTTGTGCTCTCTAAAACATTGTCTGTGCTCAACCCCACAACTCCTTCACAAGAGAGTTACTTCGACCGACTAATCGCTTTTAAACTGGTATTTTGATGACAAGTAGGGCTCGGCGGGACTAAGAAACCTTCGAAAGGATATGAACTCATCGAGCATTGATCAAAAGTAATGATCGTTTTACGAATTTTCGTTCGATAAAAAGGTACTTCGGAGAAAGTTAAATAAAAGAATGTTGAACGGGGACTTTGATGGACGATGGGTCTAAATGTTATTAGAGTCTTCTGAGTTTTCCATCAAGAATGAATTTGTCTTTCTCAAGGCATGCCGTTTGCAAAATCCAATCATTTGTTAGAGGAAGGATACCACGGACAGGTCTATTTGTAAATTGAATGTCTCGAAATAGATAGATTAGTTTTTGCTGAAAATTTCGCGACACCCTAATGACAACTGGATCTATCTCCCATAAAAATCGTAGTTCAAAAACCTTTTATTCGATTTTCTCCAAAATACTGTCCTATTGGTCGAAAATTTGTAAAAAGCCTACAAGTTTTGATGAATGAGCTATGCGCTAATATCCTTTTGGAAGTTTCATAGTGTCACTGATCTCAAATAATTTATTTGATAGCTTTTGATGAGCTCTACAAAACTGCATATTCACACTGTTAAAATAACTCTCTGATTGAAACTTAAGAATCCAAAAATGATTGTGGCTTGAAGATTCTTTACTCTTTCATGTACATATAAGTCCAGAGTAATAATATAACGCTGTAGGTGCATCGAATTTTAAGTCAAAATGATTACTAGCACTCATACTTCCATTTCATGTATAAATTAACCAGGTTGAACCTAAAAGTTTACATCGATAAGGAACACTAATGCTCCCTTCGTACTACTATCTATGACCAATGTCCCATCCAATATATCGATTCGCGCAAGTTTTTAAAAAAGTGGAAGTCATGTAGTCATAAGCTCATTCTAAGGACTGTAAGAACACATCAAAATTCTAACAGATGATTTTTCTTCGTCAAAATGTTAAGCAAAGAGTGGATTGGAATGA